AGAGAGAGAGAGAGAGAGAGAGAGAGAGAGAGAGAGAGAGAGAGAGAGAGAGAGAGAGGAAAAAATTGAGATAGTATCTCCTAAGTTACTCAGGCTGGCTCTTTGGCCCAGACAAGCTTTGAAATCGAGATCCTCCTATCTTGCACCCTCCATCCCCAAGAGTACATTCTTAGAATCTTTCTTTGAACTGTTAGCAAGTCGTCCTTCTGCTGGGCTCCTTATGCTGTCTGAAGAATCACTAGTAGTCACCCTAGTAGAGACAGCTCCTACAATCTAGTCTTATAGTTTCAATTATGTTCTTCTGTCTTGTGAAGCCTTAAAAGAATCAAGAAGGCTAAAAGATGGCTTACAGGTAAATAGTATTTACTGCTCCTTCAAAGGATCCAGGTTCGATTCCCAGCACCCATATGGTAGCCACAATCATCACTAATTCCAGTTCCAGGGGATCTGAAGCCCTTCTAGAACTTCCTCAAGCACCAGGCATACACATGGTGCACCGACATACAAGCAGTTAGTATAATTATATACAAGGCAGACACAGTGGGAATGCTTTTAATCCTAGAACTTGGAAGGTAGAAGCAGGCAGATCTCTGTGAGTTTAAGATTGCCCAGCCTACATAGTAAATTCAAGACAGCCAGAGCTACACAGTGAGACCCATCTCAAAACAAAACAAAAATGAAGACAAAAAGCGAAAAAGCGTGCGGGGTGGGTGGGGTGGTGGTGGCACAGCCTTTAACGTCAGTACTTGAGAGGCAGAAGAAGGTGAATCTCAGAGTTCAAGGCCAGCCTAGTCTACAGAGTGAGCAAGAGCTACACAGAGACACCCAATCTCAAAAAACAAAAACAAACAAACAAAAATTTATACAATAAAATAAAAACAAATAAGTTAAAAAAAATCAGAAGCTACTTGCCTACATCTCCACTTCAGCAGAATCCCCTCTCGGCAGCGGCCCAGTCTCCAGTTCTGAGACACCTTCACTCGGTCCTTTACTGGAATGCTGGCCATCCTAGGTCCAAACAGAACAACAAACCCAGTCACTACAACTCACTGCCAATAAGAGAAGAGTCAGGACTTGGGAACATTCAGAACAGAAACAGACATAGGTTAAGGGATGCTGGGATCAGAAGTAGGAACTCCTATCTCCATCCTTGCTGGTCAAGAAGTCAAGCAGATGTCTATCCTGAAACCACTACAGTGCCTATAGTGATGTCAGAACAATCCAGTGAAAAACATGCAAAACAGCGCCAGAACCAATGAGACAGTTCTGCGGGTAAAAAGCACTTGCCACAAAAGCCTTACGACATGAGCTCAACTCCTGCAGTAGAAAAAGAGAACTGGCCGCCACATGTCATGCATGCACTGGCCACATCCATACTGTGAGAACACACCCACTACAACAGTATATGAGCCTGACACACTGCCGACTGCACATCTGTACTGGGAGGACACACTGCCGACTGCACATCTGTACTGTGAGGACACACTGCCTACTGCACATCCGTACTGTGAGGACACACTGCCTACTGCACATCTGTACTGTGAGGACACACTGCCTACTGCACTAAGAGGGCGACATAATGATAAATCTTTTTTTTTTTTAATTTTCAAGTACAGAAACTCCTGGATATCCATAATGAAAAAGATGAACCTTGCCTGACTCTTACCTCACACCAAATAGGAAAGGTTTATATATAATAAACCCAAACATAAACTCTAAAATGTAAAGCTATTAGAATAAACTAAATAAACCATTTGGCATTGAAAATGGCACATGTCTGTCTGGGGGGATGGGTAGGCAAAGTTTTCTTAGGACACAGAAAGCAAAAACATAAAGGAAAAAAAGCTAATAAATTAGACTTTATCAAATTAAAAACTATGTCATCAAAATAAACATAGCAAGCCAGAGTGTAGGAAAGATATTCACCACACACACATTTTTATACACACACACACACACACACACACATACATCTGGCAAAGGACTTGTACTCAAATGAAGAAATATTTCTCTCTCCATACTTCAGCCAACCTTCACTCAGTGTGCCCCAGCCCCAAGTGCTGGGATGACAGCCATGTACGACCATTCTTAGCCTCTAAGTCCACACTGTTAGAAGACCAATAAGGAAGTTTTCTAACTGATGATGGGAGAGAATAAAATGGCACAGCATTGTAGCGAAAGTCCAGCAGGGGCTATTTCATATCTTTTATGAGTGGCTTTGCCTGCATGCATATATATGTACCATGTTCATATCTGGAGCCTGGAAAGACCAAAGGGAACATGAGATCCCCTGAAACTGGAGTTGTGGACAGCAGTAAGCCACCAAGTGCATGCTGGGGACCAAACCCAGGTCCTCAAGTGCTCTTAGTAGCTAAACTATCTCTCTGCCCACCCCCAAATTAAAAAGAAAAAAATTATACTGAATGAAAGCAATATTATACATACTATAGTTCAATGCCATGAACTTAGAAAAGGGATGACTAGTCTAAAAGGAATAAAAACTCATGGTGATGACCAACAAAGCAGGATTGGGATCCATCTGAAAAGGCTTGTGGAAACTTCCTGAGGTTTTCTGTCCTATATCTATCTAAACCTTGAAGGGCTTTGGGGGTACCTATCAGTTGGGCAGATGTGGTGCTACAGGCCAGTCACCCTAGTGCGCAGGAACTGAAGAAGAATGATCAAGAGTTCGAAGTCACCTGATCTGTGTGGCAGCTTCCTTGCCAGCCTAAAGCAAGACACTGTCTTAAAACAAAAGTGGGGCTAGCAAGAAGGCTCAGAAAGTAAAGGCCCTTGCCACCAACTCTGAACCTGAGTTCTTTCCCCAGGCCCCACATGGTGAAAGGAGAGAACTGACTCCCACAATTTGTCTCTGACATTCACGTGTGATACACACACAATATAATAAAAAAAATTGTAAGAAAACAACAAAACTCAACACCAAAATATTTCAAATGATCAAGTTTAAATTTGAGCACTTCACTCAAATATAAATTTAATCTAAATCACTGTGTATATATACATTTTTCTTTAAGAAAACACATAAACTGCTAGGTGGTGCCCAGCACTCAGGAGGCTGAGGCAGGCTGATCTCTGTGAATTTGACCAGCCTGGTCTACAAAGCAAGTTCCAGGACATCCAGGACTGTTACACAGAGAAACCCTGTCTTGAAAAACAAAATAACAAACAAAAAACATAATACAATCAAGGATTTGCATGCATGCTCAAGTATGGAGTGTATTAGCATCTGTAACTTACTTTGAAATGCAAGATTAAGCAAATATGACCAAAAAATTATGAGCACTAGATGGTGAGGATATGGATGGTCATTGTACAATTATTTTCCATGTTTTACACTTTTCATAAAAAAAAAAAAAATGTTGACTCGGGGCAGTGCTGGTGCACACCTTTAATCCCAGTACCCAGGAGGCAGAGGCGGGTGGATCTCTGTGAGTTCGAGGCCAGCCTGGTCTACAAAGGGAGTTCCAGAACAGGCTCCAAAGCTACAGAGAAACCCTGTCGCGAAAAACCAAAAAAAAGAAAAAAAAA